ATGACCGTCGAGCTCACTATCCAAATTACTCATTTGAGTTTAATTGTCAAGATGATATTTTGGACTGTATGTTTTGGGTTGATGAAATGGAGAAGGCATATTATGCTGAATTTGGTGATGTTATCTCGTTTGATGCGACTTTCCGAACAAACAAGTAAGTTATTTTATCTACTTTTGTTTATAGCATTCATATATGAATATTTTTATATTCACTTATTAATACATCAAAAATTGACTTTAATGAACATTTTTTTGTGTGTTAGGTATCGAATTGTTTTTGTTCCGTTTACTGCTATTGACCATCATAAAAAATCGGTTACTGTTGGATTTGGGTTGCTAAGAAATGAAAGCATTGAGTCTTACTCTTGGTTGCTTAAAGCATTTCTTAAAACTCATGGGAAAGAACCAACACTTGTTTTAACCGATCAAGATGCTGCAATAAAACAAGCTGTTGAGAATGTGTTTCGTAATTCAAAGCACCGATTATGTATGTGGCATATAATGAAAAAGTTGAAAAAAGGTATTATTTTAATATATTTCAAATATATTACTTATTAGTATATTCATTTATGAATATTGATTGTTATTTTAGTTATTATTATTTATTCATTTATGAATAATTTTGTTTTAATACAGATATCAGATGATTTATTTACGAACACAGACTTTAGAAAAGGTTTTCGAAGCTTGTTTGGGACATTAATATGAAACCTGATGTTTTTTAGGTGAAGTGGGGTTTGATTATGAAGGAATTCAATCTTGAAGACACAAGATGGTTTAAAGACATGTTTACAATACGTGATTCATGGATACCTGGATATTTTAGTGATATTCCAATGTGTGGTTTGATGAAGACTACATCGATGTCAGAGAGTATGAATTCATTCTTTAATACATATTCAGAAAGTGGGAACTTACTTTTGAATTTCATGATGAATTACGACACTGCCATTCAAAAGCAAAGGAATACTCAACGAGAGCTTGATAAGGCATCAAAGAAAGCATCATATAAAATGCAAACACCTCGAGAAATAGAATTGCAAGCATCAAAGGTTTATACAAGTACATTATTTTTTGAGGTGCAAAAAGAAATATATAAAGCATGTTTTTTCTGTACATACTCATATGTTGGTATTGAAGATGGTTGGGAAGTTTACATTGTGCAGCACAACAACAGTAAAAGTGATTTTAAAATTGAATTTAAGGTAATTTTACTAGTTCTTTTTATGAAAAATGTAATAATATTCATATATGAATATGAGAATATTCATATATGAATATGAGAATATTCATATATGAATATCAATATTCATATATGAATATATGAATATTATATGAATATATGAATATATGAGTGTTGATATGAGTATTCTTATATGAATGTAAATGTGTAAATTTTGTTTTTGTATCAGGTTGAAATAAAAGCTGAAGAGAAGGAAATAAATTGCAGTTGTGAACATTTTAAGCGTATGGGTGTTTTATGCAGACATGCTTTTACAATAATAATGAGATGTGGTGTTAAAGAAATTCCTGAAAGGTACATTTTGAAAAGATGGATAAAGGATGTGATATCAAGAAATTATCGTTTTAGTTCTGTTCAATCCGATTCAGCTGATTGTGAGAATGTAAAGCTAGTCAATGATTCATATTATAGTTTTGAATCATGTTTGGATATTGTAAGAGATGACAAAAAGAGATTGACTTTGTTTGCTGAGAAACAACAAATGTTGTTGAAGGAATTTGAGAGTGATTATATTTCTCCTGGATTGAAAAGCAAGACAGATGGTGAAGTCGTATGCAAGTTTTTGGGTGTACTATTCCTATTCCAGAAGAGATTAATATTCATGTTCCTGAAGTTCAAAGCAATAAAGGTTCTGGAATCAAGAAAAAATTCCAAGTGCAGGTGAAGTAGCATATGAAAATTCTAAAAAAGAACATAGAATGTGTTCAGGATGTGGAAAACGAGTTCCACACAATTTACGTACTTGTCCAGAAAGAGTTGGAGCTGCTAAATCAGCAAAAGACAGTTAAGGATTTTTTTTAGTTTTTTTATATGTTTTTTGGTTTTATTCATTATGAATATAGCAGATAAAAACAATAAACAATAATTCATACACATTTATATTGATATGGTAAATTGATATGTTGATATTTGTTTTTAAATTACTATAAAATAAGTATATTGATATTGTAAATTATTCATAAATGAATACAAATATGTGAAATTTGTTATACTAATAAATAAGTAATATTCATATCTGAACTTTTTTATGTTAATATCTGAACTTTGTTATACTAACATATTAATTTGAACTTATATATAAATGAATATATCATATTCGTATTTATTTATGAATAAATAAAAATAAAGTTTGAAAATATTTGAATATAAAAAAATGACATAAATAAGCAAACTTGTTTCTACTAATAAGTTAGTTATATTCATATCTGAAATTTGTTATATTCATATATGAACTTTGTTATGCTGACATATTACTCCTAATTTAATCATAAATGAATATATCATATTCGTATTCATTTATGAATAAACATAAATAAACTTTGAAAATATTTAAATATAAAAAACTGACAGAAATAAGCGAAGTTGTTTCTATTACATAATCATTCAACACAAGATAATAAAAGTTGTTCATAAGCATTTCACAAATATTAAAACGATGTTCAATAACATTTAACAAACCATTTAAACTTGTTTCGCAGAATCATCTTACATGTACTTCAAATCCATTCATCTTCAACACAAACTATTCTATAGCATCACACTTCAACATTCTTTCATCTTCACAAGCAATCATCAATATTCTTTTAACCTTTTTTGAATTGTTTGCATAGCCTTGTATGCATGATCAATACGCACTTTGAATTCAACTTTTTGATATTTTCAGCAAGATCCAACACCTTAGCCTTCAACATGTTAATTTCAGAAGTTAGCATTATGTGTGCATATCTTTGCCTGAGCTTCTCTAAAGTAGTTTGTTGAACTGCACTTTCTTTATGAAGACCTGGTTTCCACTTTGAGAGTGGTTGTCCCATATAGGTCTCCATATGTCTCATTGCAAATACCCCACAATCAACTTTGTTTTTAACTGTTCTCCATGACATTTCAAGTCGTTGGGGTTTGATACTTTCTTTTGAGATTGCATTTGCTCTTGGATGGTTTATTTCTTTAAAGTATCTCACAAACAAATTTTTCTGATCATTAAATAAATAAAAGTTAGATATGTAATAAATTGGTTCTTTTATGTTGTTGTGAATTGGGTACATACCAAAGGTTTCAATATTACTCCGTATTTCCCTTCATAATCCCCCTCAACTGCACTATTCTCTAGAATTTCAATTGACGGTTTCTTTAAGTTGAAGACAATCACAAAAATGTGAGCACTTCTAACAACCAGAAAGAATACCTGTTTTTATGTATATAATGGTAAGTATTTTGTTGATAAAATATATATATAAAAAAACAACTTTAATTAACATACCATGTCAATATCTTTTATGTTCAAGATTTTTTTGTACCCATTGGTACTGTCATGAAAGTTTTCCTTGAATTTTTCATACTTTCTTTCATCAGACAATGTTGAAGTTAGATAAGCAGTCTGTAACCAATATAATCATATGTGAATTTCAGTTGAATATATATAATTATGTTAAAGAATACATCATATTTGTATAATCATATGTGAATTTCAGTTGTAAAAAAATATTATATTCATAAATGAATACATCATATTGGTGTATTCATTTATGAATAAGGAAGGAATTAAGGTTAGAACATAAACTTACAGAAACTCCAACTTTCAAGAAGAGTCTGTATGGTGAATTTCCAAAATCCCTTTCCAGTTCTTGGTGGTTAAGTAAATCAAACCAAGTGTCTAAAACTTCTCCAAAAATATTTGTGTTTGCATATAGACTTTCCATAACTGCTCTTTCTGTTGTCTGACCATATTTTGTCTGGACAACCACATCTCTGCAAATATATAATCAAAATGTCATAGATTATTATCTATATAATAATCATATATGAATGTATATAAAATAAAGTTACTTACGATGTATTGCCTTGTAAGTTGAACAACCATTCATAGACAATACTCTCCTGATGTGTTAGTTTGGGTTTTGTGTCTGTTATTCTGCATTTGAAAGGTGATTTGAAAGCATCAGCAAGCTTCTTCTCTCTTGGTTGATCCAGATCATGCTTTGATGGTCCTACTTCAGTAGGAATTGATACAGAGATTGGATTTGGATTAAGAACATTTTTCTTTGCTAATCTGATAACAACCTTCTGATGGTCGTCTTTGATTTGTTTCTTTGTAAGTGGTTTTTTTGGTGAAGATTCATTAGATTTTTTACTTGAAGTTTGATCTGAATCTTGACTGAGACCTAGACTAAAGCTTGGATGAGTATCTGCATGCCAGGAGATTTATCATATAAATAGTTGTAAGTTAATTATAATATTTGAGTTTATATTTTGAAATGTTTATCCAAATTGTTACCTCCTTTATTTCCTTTTGTCTTGTCAGCTTTTTCTCCTTTCTTGTTTTCATTTTCTGACTTTTTCTTTCCTGAAAGATAAAGAACTTTGATTAAGTAATTCATATGTGAATAAGTAATGTATTCATTTATGAATAAGTAATGCATATCATTATTTATGAATAAGAAATATTAAGTTTTTTTTTATATTGCGTTATTTATTTGTGAATAATAAAACTTATTATATTCATTTATTAGTGATTCAACTATTTACCTTTATCTTCTGCATTTCCTTTCTCAGTTTCTGTATGTTTATCTTCACCTCCATCTTTCGTGTTCTTAGCTTATGTTCCTCCTTTATTTCTATCTTCAGAGTTTTCCTTGCCTGAAACATATACATCATATATGAATATTTTTTTTTTTTTTCATTTATATAGTGTATTATTCACTTATGAATAAACAATGTTATTAAAAAAATCAATATAATATTGTAATATATTTTAAATCATTCATTTACCTGTATCATCTCCTTTGTTTTTTTCAACTTTTGTTCCTTGTTCATGTACACCTTCTGATTTTTCCTTTTGTGCAAGAGTATTAGTTTTACCTGTACTCATTGGTGACCCTGGTCAAAATTTAACAAACAAAATTGTTATTGTGTATTAATATTTTTATATATTTTTTTAAAATAAAAGTAAGACAAAATTTACCTATATCAATATTATCGAAAATAGTTTTCATTTCAGGGTGATTCAAGATTTCATCTTCTTGACTATTTAAAGTTGAAATTCCAATTCCAAGGACATTGTCTACAATGTTGTCAACAACTTTATCCAACAAATTTTCATTTTCAGTTTGTTGAATAGTCTCTTCATGATTATTTGTTTCCTCAGCATGATCATCTTTTTCCTCTTCATCATTCTCATTTTCATTCCTCTTTCCATCTTTCTCTTTTACTCCAATTTCACCTTCTTTTTGATTCTTATCTGCATCGTTCTTTATTCCTTCATTCTCTGCTTCATTTGAATCAAGCAAATAATCTACTTCTGGTTGACTTGCATCATTATCACTGTCTTCTTCACCATTTCCCTCTTTATCTTCATTTTCTTTTTGATCATTTGTTTTTTGACCCATTATTGGTGTCAAATTGATTCCTTCAACTCCAGTTTCATTACATGGAAAATTAAAAAGTGTTGTGCTTTCAGTTTTTTCTTCAACAATCATATTTGTCATCTTTTCTTTGAAAATTCTAAAGCTTTCCTTTTCAGGGAACTTTGTCATCGCATCATTAAGCTTTGAATTCAGCTTTTCCTTCATCCTCTCAAAACTATTAAGCATTTTTGATATTTTGATTCATATGCCTATGTAACAAAAAGAAGTATATGATTAGAATTTAATATAATAATTTAATGTAATCATATATTATTAACATGTTCAAACTAATTACCTCAACAGAATGATCTTCATCTTTATCAGAATCACTGTCTTCGAGATCTGTATCTCCTTCATATTGTTCATTAACAAATTCTTCGTTTAATTCTCCAAGTCCAAATCTACCTTTTTCTTGTTCAAATGTCTCTCGATATCTAATCTCTCTGAACTCCAATAACAAATTGTTGGACGTTTACGTGTTACTGTTAAAGCTTCTGAGTGGATGTTATCAGCATAGAACAACTGCACATAAATGATAACTAATTGATATTCATATATGAACAAGTAATATTATTTTTACTTATTCATATATGAATAAGTAATGTAAAGCATTACGTGTGAACAAATATATTTTTCTTATTCATATGTGAATATTTGCTATTATTTTATAATAATCAATATTATTAAAAATTGAGTATAAACATTATAATAACTTACCACCAAGAAAGCTGAAGGTCCAACAAAGAAGCTGGTATCTGAGTATGGTATGTATGAGTTTTTTGTTCTGACAAGACAGTCCAAAACATAGCTGCACCAGTCTATGTTGCTGATATATGTTTTCTTGAAATATACTCAAGGGAAACAGGTGCATCTTCCATTGATGTTGACTCGCAAAACGTGTTGACAAAAAGAAAAGAAGTTCAATTTGAAATTGAAATCAGCTTGTGTGGTAGAAACAATAACATTTTTGATTGCACTCAGTCGGATGATTGAATCTTTTTAAATTGTTGCTTCCATTCATCATAACTTGTATCATCCTTAGGCCATTGATCCAGTTGTGTAAGTTTAGTTCCACCAATTGGTATGCCCAACATGTCATGAACAGACTCTGCTGTTACTTTCAATTCCTTTCCTTCAATATCTATCACCATTCTCTCATAATCAAATTTTTGAAGAACATAAAATTCCAGCTTTAGTGGTATATCTGTGATTTTCATTTTTAACAAAGCTCCAAAACCCATAGATCTTACAGATTCTTTTTCTTCTTTGCTCATCCCAAGGATTATAGATAGTAATGCCTCTGGTGAACATCTGTTTTTCATTGTAAAATTCTTTTACCATTGGTTTTTTTTTGTCTTTTTGATTGGTGACTCCTTTTTTTTTGCCTTCTTCGATGGATGACTACTTTCAAAATCAGAGTCTGAATCTTGTAGTGTTGTTTTTTCAGGAGTTTTCCTTTTTTATGGACTTTTTCTGCTTTGATGCTTTATTTTCTTTGGTACTTTTGTTTCTTTTTTATCTGGGAAATGAAAACATATAATATTTGAATAAGTTACTGATATATGAATATGATATATGCTCGTTGATTTATTAATATTTATTTATTACAAAAATATAACTAATATATACAATTTTATTCATATATGAATATATTAGATATGATAGGAATTTGTACCTTTCGCATTTTTCCTCTTCGCATTGATCTTGTTTCTCTCATGTTGGTGAATCTTTATCGGAATGTTAGTGTTCATACCTTCATTCAATAGTAAGTAGAAGATAAATGAGTTTGATATTCACGAATGAATATTTGAATAAAACATATGTATTCATATTTTTTTTATTCACATATGAATATGTTTTGTTATATTCATATATGAATAGAACATATGTAAGTGATTCTTGTTGTATTCACATATGAATAATGTATGTATGGCAGCAAGCTATGTTCTATTCATATGTGAATATAACATACATATTCACGACTGAATATTTGAATAAAACATATGTATTCATATTTTTTTATTCACATATGAATATGTTTTGTTATATTCATATGTGAATAGAACATATGTAAGTAATTCTTGTTGTATTCACATATGAATAATGTATGTATGGCAGCAAGATATGTCTATTCATATGTGAATAGACAAACATATATCACACGAATGAATATTTGAATAAAACATATGTATTCATATTTTTTTATTCACATATGAATATGTTTTGTTATATTCATATGTGAATAGAACATATGTAAGTGATTCTTGTTGTATTCACATATGAATAATTTATGTATGGCAGCAAGCTATATTCTGTTCATATGTGAATATAACATACATATTTACGAATGAATATTTGAATAAAACATATGTATTCATATTTTTTATTCACATATGAATATGTTTTGTTATATTCATATGTGAATAGAACATATGTAAGTGATTCTTGTTGTATTCACATATAAATAATGTATGCATGGCAGCAAGCTATGTTCTATTCATATGTGAATATAACATACATATTCATGAATGAATATTTGAATAAAACATATGTATTCATATTTTTTTATTCACATATGAATATGTTTTGTTATATTCACATATGAATAGAACATATGTAAGTGATTCTTGTTGTATTCACATATAAATAATGTATGTATGGCAGCAAGCTATGTTCTATTCATATCTGAATATAACATACATATTCACGAATGAATATTAGTTTTGCTTGTGTTCAGAAGTAAAAAAAACATATTTTATTTACCTTTTTGATTTGTTCTTGGTTTTCGTTTATATGTATTCTTCACTGTTGGTGTTGTTTCTGTAAGGGTAAGTAGTTAATATTAGGAAAACATAAGCGAAATGTTAAGTAACGTTTGTATTTTGACAGAATAGTTTTGAATAAAGATGAAAATGAAGAGATGATGTAAAATCATTTATATATCAAATAATAATGGATGATTCTTACAAAAATTTCAAGTAAATAAAGTAATAACGAAGGAGGATTACGAGAATGAACGAGTATCATAAAAATTTGAAGTAAACAACCTTTTTTGAAGAATGAACAGTATGAAAACAATGTTTTTAGTTCTAAATCAACTAATAATTATCGAAGATTACGAGAAATTTCAAGTAATCAAGTGATAATTTTAGAAATGATTCGAAATCGTTAAAAACTCGAGAAAAAACGCCGATGGTTACCTTTCATTGTGAAGAGTGAGGAAATGGTCTCGTTAATGTTTTCATCGGAAGACATTTTTCTTCGTTTATGTTATTTGATGCTTCTGCAAATGGTTTTCTTCTTATCGATTCTTCTGCAAATGGTTTTCGTGTTATGGTGTATCGAAGAGGGAAATGGTGCTTTTCTGTCGAGATTTGACGTGTTATCAAATTACTCAAGTGCCCTGACGGTTTAATGTTTTTGGATTATTTACAAATTTGCCACCGCTCATTAATGTATTTGGATTATTTACAAGTTTGCCACCGTGCATTTTTTAAGTTCATTAAATGATTGGCTGAGAATGGTTCCCCCATTCTCAACCTTTTTTTTCTCAATTGAACCCTCCTCTATATATATATATATATATATATATATATATATATATATATAATATATATATATATATATAAAATACATGAATAATTTTCGTGTTTAGTCCATCACTATTATTTATATTCATATTGTCTTTGTATTTGATGTGATGTTTTTACATTTTTCGTCCTTTATGGACATAAAAACCTAAAATTACCCTTGTTTATTATTTTTTTAATTAATTTATCATTTTTTTTCTAATTTCTAATTTGTAAAGTAGAAAAATAATATAAACATTCTCCGATCCACAAATTTTATCACTTCTTGAAAATATTCTCTTTCTCTCTCTCTCTCTCTCTCTATATATATATATATATATATATTATATATATATATAATATATATGTGTGTGTGTGTGTACGCGCGCACCAACAGAATTATCAGACGCCGTCGGAACCACCAGTGTCGCCTCCACTTCCAGAACCATCAAGCGTCGCTATCTTCAGGATAGATTAGTTGAGGACTTAGTGGGGCCAAATGTAATAGTTTTAGAAAAAATTAGTGTCACGACGTGGATAGTGTACTTGATGCAAATAATGTCCAGCAGTGGTATCATAGCCTAATTATTTTAGTTATGAGAACAAAAAGTTTGTAAAAAATCGAAAAAAAAAGAAACCTATCAAACGACAAAAGCTAGGCGCCTTTGCCTGGCATAACGCACCTATCTAGATTTTTAGATTTCAGGATTTTGACTAATTTCGAAAATATGGGGATAAAGCTCTATTTTAAAATATTTTCTTAATTGTTTAAATATGAATATTTGAATTTGGTAATTAATTTGGAATGTTATTTAATTACAATTTTAAATTTGAATATCATATAATTAAATCGGAATATTATTACTTGAATTAAAATTTGAATATTTATCTTGAACTTTATTTAATAAGAGAATTAAATTACAAAGACAATATTATAAATTTAAAATGTTTAAATTTATTATATGGTACTATTTACTATACATAAAACGTTTATACCAGATGTTAATAAAAGTCATTGTCGTCGAATCAAGACTAGGCTCACCCATTCTAATACTAGTTTAAGAAGGTCTATTAGATTCCCAATGAGGTCGGTGATTAAAATGTTTCATTCTTACCACCTTCACTACCTTTCATATTTTGAGAGTGGGGTTACCGAAAGGGTTCGATCATATTTTATCTTTCAAGATTAAACGTATTAATCAAGTAATAAAACACAATCTCGATTTTTTATAAATTGAAAACATGAGTCATGTTTACCCTTGAAAACACACATTTTAATTATATTTGGATGATGGAACGTGTCTGCGTATGTGGTTAACCGACACATCATTTGCGAGAATATAATTTTAGAATAATGAGTCCTTGTAAAATTATTTTGTTGATGGAGCGTACGTGGCTAACCGACATGTCAATTTGAGAGTAATTTTATATCGAGATCAAACGGTTTTGTATGGTTGATTCACCATATATTTAATGGTTCCCCATCATTAAATTTGAGATGAGAACAATTGAGAATAATATTCCATTGAACATCAATGAATCTCACATGATCTATAAGTTTCAAAGTTTTATAAAAATGAAACATTTTCTCGGCTGATTTTGCTAAGAAATTTCCCA